ATAATTGTTTAACAAATTAGTTTAATTAACGTATTAGTTTTAACAAATGGACGCATTTCCGCGGCCAAACTTTGTTATGGGATTAGTGTTCTATTGTCTATGACGGAACGCTGGGGGCTGTTGGGGATTATTAGGCATCGAATTGTATTCAGCGTGTAGCGTTTCCAGCGTGCTAAAAATACATGTGTGCTCACGGTGAGCTAGCATCTGATTTTAGCTGTGTTGCCATCGTGTTTCTGATGATAAGGAAGCAAAACAAGTGCTGTTACTGTGCTTACCTAATATCCACCACAGCCCCCAGCGTTCCGTCACAGACAATAGAACACTAATCCCATAACAAAGTTTGGCTGCGGAAATGCGTCCATTTGTTAAAACTAATACGTTAATTAAACTAATTTGTTAAACAATTATGATTCTACAGTAACGTATTCCAACCAGGTGGCTTATACTGTTGACTTCTGTTATGTTTCAGTCTTCACTGTGTTTCGTTGCCTCGCAATAAAGCTGTTCGAGACATACAATGTGGATTCGTCTCTACTGTTCGCAACTGACGCGATAGTGTGAAACCGTGTCGTATTCAAAGAACTTTTTTGAAGAACACATACGATTTTCAGGTAAATTGGTGGTGTCATATGATTAAAGGAATAATATATCCATTGATTATGCAATGTTGACGAATGCTAGAGTAACTGGCACCTTGTGTAGTTAATAAGTACATTCTTCTTTATATGCTCTTGATATTATATGCATTATTTTGTACAGCCTGCATGCTTGCAGCTAGAGCTAGAGCTCCAGCGCAGCTAGCTAGCAATATACATTAGATACAGTGCAGTACAGTGCAGTACAGTGTAGTGCAAATTGCGACCGGCGTGGTGTCTGCTGATTTGTGTTCATTTGATCACGCTCGCTCCGCGAATTGTTCGCTCTCTTTTTAATGAGATTAGCACGTAATAAACAATTATTTTTATCACATAGACACTTTGAAATTTTAGTGGCCCGATCGGACCCCCAAATTTTAACTTTTTGAAATTTTGGTGGCCCGACATCAAGTTTTGGTGGCCCCGGGCCACCACTAGTGTCGAGCCTTGCGTAAATGTCAAGCAGGAGTCAAGCGATAAGTAACCGATGACGTAAACATTTATGCGGCCCGTATGTTTTGGACGCCAGATGAAATGGAGGTGTCAGCTTTGTAACCACGGCCACGGACTAAACATGGAAATGGAGTAAAACACACGTACTAATCACGGACGCACATGGACAGCCCTAACAAAAAGTTCCTATATATATATATATATCTTGTGTCACTCTTGAATCAATGGGCTGTTTATAATTATTAAACTTATCACAAGCACACTGATCATAAATGTTTCATAACTATCACTTGTCTCAAAAGTGAGCCAAATAAAATGTTGACCTCTCAGATTTGGCATCAAAATATAAATTTATTTGCATTCTTTGAAGTGTTCAATAAGCATTGAATCCACTCGAATGGCTTGCATGATTGACAATATTGATAGTTGGAAATGCCCCCCCCCCCTAAACAGGTATATGCGTGCATAGGGGAATTTTATAAATAATAATGCTGCGACATTCGAGCCAAGCTACCCTGGACATCACCACTGCATCATATATATAAACATGTATGTTACATTGCACACAAAGCCGGCGACTATTTTCATTATCAGAATTGTATTGATTTTTAATTTTAGAAAATTAGTAATGTTGATAGCCTAACAAATCCTCTGTAAGAAATCCATATTCTCAATACCTTCACGAATTATATAGCTTTAACACTACCTTGTTTCGTTCAACCATGGCAGAGATCTATTTACAGTACACTGCCATATTTGAAACATTTGTAGAAGTGATGTAATACATTCCTGTCTTGTTGAGTTATACTATGAACCTGAAACACGATGTCTTTATGTACCATTGCATGAAGCCAATAGATTCTGTTGTCTTCTTCAACTGGAGTATGGTGCTCAGATACTGTTGTGTTACTTGACCCTGGGATGGATTTTGTGACATGCTCTATTAAAGTGAAGCACCACATAGACATACATGCATTATCCAAATATCGCCAACTATCACGTGGTGTCACATGCACTGTTCCAATCTGTTCTGCCACAAAAAGGACCCACATGCACTGCAGCAGCAACTTGAACTATGACACGCACATACAAGCACCGTACTAGCGTGGTATTATTTCAGAACCTATATATTAAAGAGCATCACCTTCTCTTGCCACATGGACATACATGCAATGTCCCAGTCTCAATCGCTTAGAATTGAATTCGTCAAAAATGCATGAAAGCCAACATCTATGCAACTGCATGTGCTTATACCTTTGAATCCATCGCATCTATCACATCATTATTCCACTCGCTTTTCCCAGCAAGACCACTATCAGCTTCACCTTCCTCCATATATGGAGAAACAATTGCTGTCTCCTCCACGTAAGGAGAGACGATGTCTGTCTCCTCCTTGAAAGGGGAGACTATGGCCGTTTCCACTTTATAAGGAGAGACCATGGCCGTAACTTCCTTATAAGGGGAGACAATTGCCGTCTCTTCCATTTGAGGAGAAGCTATGTCTGTCTCTTTGAAAGGAGAGACAATGGCTGTCTCCTCTTTATAAGGAGAGACACTAGCCATGTCTTCAACACACGAGATAGTGGTGTCCTGGTTGTATGGTGAAATTATGTCCGTCTCCTTGATAGGTGAACTGGACATTAAGTCAGTTTCTCTAACCTCCGCTGAAGGGCTTAGTTGCCCTTCAAACGGGCGGTGCTTCTGATGTAACACCTATAAACAACAATATAAGCCCATTGAATGATAACATGGCAGTGTTCAGGTTGAATTTCCAGCAACTCTGTTCTCATAACATGCAGATTGCATTCTGCTTGATGAGGAGTTGATAACAATCCAAATGTATGTATAACCAGAGTGCAACCACTTTTAAGAAATATGCACGATCGATGGGCAAGCAATGTTAGAGGCTAAATGGCACCTACAACCTTAAACAGAAAAGTACAGATATCTAGACCCAAGTGTAGATTGAATGGCATGAAATTGAAAATGCATCAGTTTGATCAATTCCTATAATAAAGTTATTATAATAATGACAAAACACATCCCCACATTTCTGTTTCAACCAAAAACATTGTAAAAAATATTGCTAAGAAAATTCAATTTCATAGCATTTAAAAAAATCTGCTTATACTGCACATTTTGATTTAAATTAAGCACTTACCTTTTACACGTAAAAAAACACGCACACAATACTGTGTCAATACGTGAACAGCTATTTGGAGACAATGAAGCTGTGCTTGTTATCACTCTCAGGTGCTGTGTAGGAACGCGGGGGGTGAATGCATTATGGTGCAGCACACGCACTCATGCACACACAATAGATCTGTCGTTACCTTTTCTTCCAAGAGCTCGACACCCTCGGCAGCCTCAGAGACTTGGCAAGGCAATGCTGCCAAACCTTCATCAGCAACACCACTGGCTCCACTATGTCTACTGTACTTTGCAATGCCGCTACTTTCCCAGTCAGACCTCTCAGGGCTTACGTCTTTCCTAGCAGGATAAAATGGTTCGGTTACTGCCAAAGTGTGGACAACGTCTACCTTATCTCGGCTCCTGTGCGCATGCTCCTCCGGTTCAGAGTCCGAGTCGAATGGATTCATCAGCTGCTTGCGTGTCATCAGCTTCTTCTTGCTCACGTCACCAGGTGTCCCTGGCTTCTGCACCACAAGACTAGACGGGACGGGAATTTTCCTCTCATGACCGACTAATGGTGCCATCGCTCCTCTTCCTCCCCCTCCTCCCGGGACGCTCGTCTCCTGCTTCGTTTTACTCGCAGCGAGCGTCGGTGGGGAGCGGGAGCGAGATTTGGACGAGCTGTGCCGATCTGGCTTCGCGTGTTCCTTTACGGGTGATGCGCGCGACGAGGATGACTCCGAATGCTCGTCGCTGCGTCCAACCGCGTACTGACTTTCCGTCGCCTTGCGGCCGATTTGCCGCACCTCAAGGTCGCGACCCGTAAAGTGCGTGCGCAGCTGGTATAAGTAGGTCATCACCATCAGCTTGTCCGGAACGGCAAGGATCACCATGTCGGACGGCTCAATCACCCGCGGTATGCCCAGCGATGAAGCAGCATCGAAAGCCTGCGCGAAACGATGAGAAATGTGAGTGGTGAGAACAGCTGAGGTCAGCAGCTATTAGGGACAATGGTTAATGAGTGTTTAAGGTAACATATATGAGTTATTGAGTTATGGTTAATAGGTAGACTAAGGCTTGTATGTGGAATTGTTCTTGGTCTCTTGGCTTGTCATACTAGTCACAGTCGGCCCTACAAATAGTATTTTTACTTCTGATACGTCTGCTACTATATTAAATGATGCGAATAACACCAAACTAACACATATATGGATAGAATACTATAGATTTGCTTTCTCCTGAGATCTAAAATCTTTCTCAGACTTACAGATTACAAAGATGCCTCTCTTTTTCAATAAACAATATCATTATTACTGTGCCAGGTTATTTCTGTGATTAAATCATTTCTTATGCCAATATGACTCCATAGTGCAATAGCTGACAGAACTTTTTCCACACTGCAAGTTCAGGGGAGTTCACTTAATAAATAATAGGTAGACAAAAGCTATAGTGTAGAAATCTCTACCTAGAAATAGAATGTGGAACACTCCTCTACCCTATTATTATTTACTCCCGACTTCACATATAACAAAACAATTATTGCCCGATTGCAAGGAAAACAATTTCGCTCATGGAGAAAAATAATGTTACCTGAGAATAGAGGTCGAGGGCCCGAGGGAAAAGAATTGATTTAAAGGTCATACCTAAATTCCATCATTCTAAATAACAGTGACTATATGGGGAAGATAGATAACATATGGGGAAGATAGATGGGGAAGATAGACACATATGGGGAAGATAGATAATAAATTCAGCAATTACTTACCTTTCTATTATTTCCTTTGATGTCATGAGGTGATAGGTTTTCAAAATCTCTGAAATCAAGAATCAAACAATGTAACTTAAAATTTTTCTAATGTTCTTCTATTGTGTCTATGCTATTTCGATGAGATCTAATAATGCAATTACTACCTCTGCATTAGGTTAATGATGTGTAACGTCAATCATGTCTTGACCACTGACTTCTATTATATTTTTGGAGATCTATGCATTCCTGCAGAAACGATTCAGCTAATATATCTACTGGAAGACACATGAATACAAGTAAACATTTTTAAATGCATATATATGCTTCTATGCTGAATATATATATATATATATATATATATATATATATATATATATATCACACCAACATCCTCCGATGGTATTTAATCAGATAGCTATACAATAACTAATATAATTCCTATTCTTCAGTCTTCTATAAAGGAATCATACTGAGCCACCTTTACCACCCCACACATTAAAAACATGCAAATCCCCCTTAGGTGAGCCAAAACCAAAGAATTCCTACATTAAGTCAGATCGGAAACGGTGGACTATGGCACAGAAGGCAAGGCCGTTGCGCCAAGACGTCGTCATGTTGGTGACTTTCACACCTGGATAACCCTTGGTTACCTCCTTGCACCACTCCAGCAGATCGATGCCAGGAGTCGCAACAGTATCACACGGCTACAAAAACACAGAAACTGTCACCAGCTTACCACGCATGGTTCAAAATAAAGGGCAGCAAGCAGCAGTTTTGCTGCCTAGAATGGTCACTTTGATTGCCTGCTCTCAAGCTCAGCAACAAATACATGAAATACTTGCTGCCAAGAAATTCGGAATAAACCAAAGGTAAAGAAAGCACTATAGATTTAGCCTGGAGCCTGGATGAGTACATTTGCTGCCTACTTTTTTCTCTGGCAGCAAGCAGAGTTATATACAAAATCAAGAGCTAATAATACCTAGAGTGTACAACGGAAAAACGGGAAAATAGTGCTATTTCACTACAACATTATTCTACTTTGCCTGCGAGTCTAGAATAATTTTATGGCATTGCATTAAGCAGAATTCTTTGCTCTCTAAAACAAGACCAACCGCTTGTCAATACGATACTCCTAGGCTGAGATATTGGCTCCTAAAACCTCCCCTCCCACATGCCTCACGCCGCCTCGCATCCCGGTTATTCACCTACCTACACGCCCCTAAGCATTGCTTCGTGAAAGTTCGGTTTTTCCGCGATAACTTTATGAATGAACGGGGTTTCGGTTATCATAGGTGACTTTCGGGGGCATCGCCTATGCCCTTATCTCCCATTATCTTTCCTAGCACGGCTAATGCCCGTCATGATGGAGCCGGCAATGTTGTCTTTACAACGCAGCTCAGTTACTATATGGTGTAGTAAGAGTACCAAATTTGGGCATGTGACATCAATTATCAGCGCTCCAAGCGGTGACGGAAACCGATAGCCAAAATGCTTAGGGGCGTGTAGGTAGGTGAATAACCGGAATGCGAGGCGGCTTGTCATGTGGGAGGGGAGGTTTAGGAGCCAATATCTCAGCCTAGGAGTATCGTATTGACAAGCGGTTCTGCTTAATGCAATACCATAAAATTATTCTAGACTCGCAGGCAAAGTAGAATAATGTTGTCGTGAAATAGCACTATTTTCCCGTTTTTCCGTTGTACACTCTAGGTATTATCCGCTCTTGATACCATGAAATTATTATAAACTCGCAGGCAAAGTAGAATAATGTTGTCGTGAAATAGCACTATTTTCCCGTTTTTCCGTTGTACACTCTAGGTATTATTAGCTCTTGTCTTGACAATATATATATATATATATATATCAAGAATAGATAATAGGAGAAGAGTATGACACCGTTTTAACAGCGTTTTGCATAGTTTTCAACTTGTAAATATTCTATCAATATGTGAATAAATGTATTCAAACTTTACCTTGTTTTCGTCTATGATTCTCCCTTAATCATATGACACCACCAATTTACCTGAAAATCGTATGTGTTCTTCAAAAAAGTTCTTTGAATACGACACGGTTTCACATAGGTTTAACAAATGGACGCATCTCCGTGGCCAAACTTTGTTATGGGATTAGTGTTCTATTGTCTATGACGGAACGCTGGGGGCTGTTGGGGATTATTAGGCATCGAATTGTATTCAGCGTGT